CCCCCCCCATTAGCACTAGGGTCTCCAGGATTCTTACAAGGATTATCAAAATGCAATTTCTTTCCTCCAGAAGGTTTTCAGCATAGCTCCCAAGGAGGAAGCAGCCTGTCACATAATAATCCTGTTACCTAACGGAAGATAGAAAGATGTCTAGGATCAGAAGGCAAGGAGCAAATAAACAAGACCATGAAGTCATGAAGGGTTCTGCAAAGTTGGTAACATTTGAGCTTGGTCTTAAAAGATAAGAAGCTCATTAGATAGAGGTGGAGGCCTGAAAGAACATGGTCAGCTCAGTGTTGCTGGAGTGTCTGGTCTGTGTCTGTCCAACTGGGGAAGGGGTGGGGCAGGTTGATGGACACTAAGAGGTCAAGTTTGAAAGGCTTTATTGGGGTGTAGCTTACAAAATGTGTTTATACCATGCACAGCTTGATGGACAGAGGTGCCAATAAGGGGTTTTCAGCTGAGTAGCATGATCATTTCTGTTTTTGAAAGATAATTCTGTTGACAGATTGGAGTGGGTAGAAATTGTAGGCAGAGAGACCAATTAGGAGGTTATTGAAATAGCCCAGACAAAAAAGGCTGAACTTATTTCAACTAAGGGAATGGTGGTAGAAATAATAAGGGCTGCAAAAATTACAGAGACAGGTAGTAGAAACAACAAAAATTGGTGATTGATTACATATAAGCAGTAAGAGGATAGACAGAATGTAGGGTATGTCTTCAGACAAACATGTTTTTACTTTAATTGTCTACGGATTGTGCTAATATTATTCACTGTACTTACTTCATTAAGTTACTGTGATGACCAATTAAGATCACTTTTATGAAAGTGTTTATCAACTATAAAAAGCCATGAAAAACACAATGCTGTTAAACATACATGCATTTATCTCAGTAGACACTGAACTCTTTCAGAACAGGGTTTACATTTAGTTTGACTGTCATTCCCCAGCACATTGAATGCACAGATAACCAACACATTTGGAGCACTGAATCAAATTTGAAATTCTGCTATGCCAAACCTAAAAGGTAAACAGTCTTCCACCATCTTGTTGTTCTGTGTGTAAGCACAGAATGGGATCTGGATAAAAATGCCAACAAAATCAGGGCTGCAGATTCCAGGAGAAATAGTCACTTAAATGCTGACGCTGAAAGAAATCTGTTTCTCTTTGTTCATGAATACACCAAACATTGAGAGCCAGCTATGTTCTCCTTTAAATCTCTCTCATTATAAAGTATTTAAAATACTAAAGAAGTTATCTGCTTCATCTGCTTTGGAGATTTGGTTTCTGGTAAGAACCATTAGACTCTGAGCTCAGTTTAGGAGGGGAGTGTTCTGTCCTTTAGGTCTATATCTCAGGATCTGGCCCCCTGCCTGTTTTATGACTGGTACTCTAAAAGAAGTTATAACTGGAAGAAGATGATAATTTTCAAGTTGAGTACCAATCAGATTTTAAATGTAACCAAGTCTGTGCACAACCAAACAAACACACATAATTGTAAATTTTACTGCATAATATGAGCTCCACATTTTCAAACAATTTCATCAAATTTTTCTCCTCCTACGATAAATCCATCTCCCTTGCTTTTTTTTTTCCTCCTACAATAATTACCTCCTACAATTTCCTTTCCCTTGTTAATTCTGCTTATCAGTTCTTAGGTTAGTTTGATTCTAATAATGACTTTTTTAAAACCATTTTCTCTTCATTTATAAGCAAAATAATATCCAGAAAGACTGCATGAGCAGAATTATTTATTTCTTATCAGGTAGAAATTATTAGTATCATTTTACTATTTTTTTGAAAAAATTTTAGATGCTGATGGACCTTTATTTTATTCATTTATTTATATGAGGAGCTGAGAATCGAACCCAATGCCTCACACATGCTAGGCAAGTGCTCTACCACTAAGCCACAACCCCAGCCCTTGATTTACTCTTTTTATTAACTATTATTTATAGCCAAAAGTTATTGAGTACATATGAGTCAATCGTTATACTAGGTTTACCTAAAGTATCTCATTTAAATTTTAAACAGTTCTATAAAAAGCTCCTACTGTTCTGTTTTACGCACAAGGAAACTGAGGCTCTAAAAAAATTTAAGTTGTTCTAGGTCAAAGAATTTGAAGGGATTCAAACCAGGTCTTGCTGATTTCCACAATCACTTCCTAATTAATCAATGATTCTCAAACTCTAGCAGGCAAGAGAATCCCCCAGCTTATGCATTACATCATAGATTGCTGGATCTCACATCCAGAGTTTCTAATTCAGTAAAGCAGAAAGGAACATAAAACTTTCTGTAACAGGAAATAAATGCTGCTGATCTTAGGACCAAACTTTGGAAACCAGCAGGCTAAGCAATACTGGCTGATATCGACTCATTATTATTTCCAAATCTATGATAGTCATTGATCTGATAAGTGGAGATAACAAATAGAAGGAAGCTACTTATTTCTGTACTTAGAATCTTACAGTTTAATTAAGGAGACATATAAGCAAACAGAATATCAATCATATCATTATGGTAAATTTTATAAGCTATCTACAAAGGATGCAGTAAACATTGAGTGGCAAGCTCCAACCAGGTAGAAGTAACAGAAAAGGTCATGTTACAAAAAGTTTTACACTGAATCTTATGAGTGACCAAGAGCTATGGAAAGAGGAAAGGAAAGGAGAAAATATTTTCCTTAATGGAAACAGCATGTGCAAAAACACAAGGTATTACATTCTTGGTGTGTTAAGAAAATTGCATACAAGCAGTTTGTTGTAACTGGAGCATAAGCAATTGCATGATATTAGAGGAAGTCTCAGGTGTGATGTGAGTTGGATTTTATCCTTGAGGGAAAAAAAAATTCCCTTTGTAGAAGGAACCCCAGCTGTGGAACCTAAACCCCAGCTGTGAAAGCTAGAGTTTCAGTAACAGATGGGGGAATCAGAAAGGCACTTCAATATTGTAATAACCACCTTGAGATTAATAAAAGTTAATTAACCTTTAGCCAAAGTGATTAGGATAGGAGAAAGAAGACAAAATTTATTAATATTAGGATTGAGAGAAGAGGTATTACTACAGATTCTATAGATATTAAAAGACAATTTAGGAAATATTAGAATAACTTTATGCTAACAAATTTGACCATTCTGATGAATTAGACATGTTTCCAGAAAGACACTAGTAAATCTCACTGAAGATAAAAGATAACCTGAATTGCCCTATATTTATTAAGGCACTTAAATTTGTCATTAAAAACCTTTCAACCAAGAAA